TATTTAATAAAAGTTACGACCATGTGCAGTAAAAGTGAGGGTAAAATTTATCTATAATGTGTATGAATCACTATCATAGTTTGGTTATCTCAGTACAGGCTCTACCTAGTTTAAGGATAGGCAGCTATGTATAAAAAGTCACCGGATACCGCTTCTAAATGGTGCTTTGAAGGAGGAAATATTTACTAATCGTACTAGCATTGCAGTATAAGGGACACATTTTACCCATCTTTTTACAAAGCATTCATTTTTAATACATTTTTACCTTCATCGACTTTAATCATTCCATTTTTCGGTTTCACAGACAATATTAGTTGCCCATGCATATTATATTGAACCACTGAGGCTGAAAACAGACAAAACTGTAAGTAAATAAATATCAATGTAAATGAATATCATAGTAGAATTATGTGATCCAGTTTTATGAAATTGACAGAATGCAACTCCGTCAAGAGCACGGTGGTATCTATACAAATAAATAAAATTGGAGTATCTGTTTGTAATATTAAAATAACCGCTTTTTAGTAAATGCATATGTATGTTTACACGGTACATATGCCAAAATAACATTTTTTACAATTTTTGTCTGTCTGTCTATCTGTCTGTCTGTCTGTCTGTTTGTTCCGGGTAATCTCTGGAACGGCTGGACCGATTTTGACGGGACTTTCACTGGCAGATAGCTGATGACATAAGGAGTAACTTAGGTTGCTTTTTTTAGACTAGCTTCGCCCCGCGGCGTTGCCCGCGGTTTTAACAACAAACGCGGGTAACACCGCGGGTCTCAGCTAGTTGTATATATTTTTTCATTTTATTGACATGTGTAACGTGAGCTGACATTTCTTAGACTTTTGTGCAGTAACGGGTCAACACAATCATCATCAACAGCCTTTAGTACTCCACTGCTAATAGGCCTCTCTTTAGAAAGGAGGTTTTGGCTTATATACCACGCTGCAGTGTTTCTTTGCAGTGCTATGGTTCTGCATAGTTTGCTTCATTATTCAGTTCTTACAAGACCCACGGGATGATTAGGGGTGGTAACACTCCGTATTCTTAATCCATCACATCATAATACTGGACCACTATCCTTTTATATAGCCGTTTCCAAAATAATTTTTAACTTCATAACATATTGCTGACATATTAAGTATTTCAAACAAAACGTGCTTTTTTTGCGCCAAATTTGTTTGAAACTGCATTGTACGTAATATACAAGTATTAAGCTCGAAAAAAAATATACAAACACTACTGGTTCCATTTGTAATAAAATCAAATTCTAATTCTTATAAACTTAAAACTAACGTGGATGTATTTTGTTAATCAATTTAGGCATCAGGAGTGGTATTTTGTTCTAGACTGTCTCCTGGTACCCCGTATGCAATAGGAGATGTGTAATATTTCATGATAAGAGACAGAGAGAGAAGTCAATTACTTACAGTTGTCCTGAATTTTCTTCAGTAATTTTTTCAAGCAACTATTAAGCAGCCGAAAGGAGATAAGTACATTGCAGCAGATCAAACAAAATTGAATACCGATCAACTGCATAAGCGCGATCATAATATAGTAGAATACATTCAAGCTTAGCCAAACAACTAAAAAAAAAAAAAACAACATTGGTGCTTTTTTTTAGTGATTTTTAGTTTTCGAACAACAGAATTAGCACCATTGTCCCTTCTTTGTACAACTATTGGTGTTTGATTTAATAATAGGTAGGTAGGCTTCTAGTACGTCGGATTCGTCGTCGGATGGTGCAGCAAAGTCAATATTACTGCCTTTAGAGCGCGCTCAAAGAGCCATTCTTAAGGTGGCGACATTCCGCCCATTTATATTTCCCACACACGAGCTTTACATTGCATGTAATGTACTAACAGTCCGACAGTTATTTATATTGCACAGCATTCTAAAACAGCATACTGAACTTCCCTATAACCCCATACCATCAAATAAGAGAAGGAAGGACATAGTGTGTAGCAGGCCTCAAGCTAGTCACACATTTGTTCATAGATTTTATTTATTTTTAGGACCTTTTTTATACAATAAAATTAATAGAATACTAAATATATACAGCCTCAATAATAAAAAATGTGTGAACATGTTATCAGAATATTTAGGTAAATTTAACTATGCAGACACAGAAAATGTATTGACAATTGTTAAATGAGTCTTAAATAGTTTTGTATAATATTATTTTCTATTATTTGCTTTCGTACGTGTACACTTTGTAGTATTTTTTATATTTGCTAGTGATCTGTTATGTTTATCTTAAATTTCTACCTTAAAAATTCCATGTCAAGCGATCGCCTGAAACACAGATTTACCCTAGTTCAGGCAGGCAGCGACTAAAGTTTTTAAACAAAATCGTAAGATCTTTATGAAATCTAATCATAAAATAACACTACTATAGATTTACGCTAGTGTAACTTAGTCTAATTATTGTCTAAGATCTATGTTAAACTGAAATGTCCTACACTGTAATATTTATATTGGTCAAATAAATAAATTATTATTATATTATTAGCAGGGATTTCCTTCCTAGGGTACACCTGGTACACCGGTAACTCGTACCCGAGATGGCATGCGATTTTTGGTCAGTTCGAGTCCGACATAATCACCCCACCGGTGGGTGGTATCCGAGGGGAATTCCGTACCGTAAAAAGGTAGGTAAAAAGGTAGGATCTAGTAAATTTCTACAGGTACTGGAGCGAGAGCCGCGGCAATGAAGTAGGTTTTGGTCAAATTTACATTTGCTTTTGTTTTGCTTCATGTGCTTTCTGTAATACAGACATTTTTAAATATTTATTGATTTTGTTGTCATCATCATCATCAACAGCCTTAAATGGTGCACTGCTGGATATATGTTTTTCTTTAGAAAGTAGGTTTTGGCCTACTATACCACGCTGCCAGATGGGTTGGTATAGTGTTCTCTTTGCAGTGCTGTTATCCTGCTTAGTTTGCTCCATTAGTCGGCTTTATAAATAGGGGTGGTGAGACTCCGTATTCTTAATCCGACACCACACGGATATTTGTATATAGAATAGTTGTAAATTTATAATACGAGTAAAAGGTATGTTTAGTCATCATCTTTTTTATCTCCTTGTCCTTCTGTCATTTCTATTTAGGGCTGATCTCTTATTGCAAAGGATTTTTGGCTGGTTTTTCTAATGAACGGGGTAAGAAATCAGATAGAGTGAGAAAGCTAGGTTAATGAATACCGCGTGTCAGTTGGACTTGAGGCTTTAGTACCTCGAATGAGTCACGTTTCATGCTTAGTATGGGTCTCAAAAGTACCTCTGAGTAACATTTTCAATATTATTGCACGTACACCAATATTTAGCGAAGTGAGAGTCCACAATGCGTATGATACTCACCATGTCCATTCTCTTGAAAAACTCTGTATAAAAATATGCCAAAATCGGAAAATACTGTAAAATTACCAAAGAGCAACATAAATAGGACCGGAACCATAATTTTCCATTCCTTTGTTTTTTCTTGAGTGTGATACTGACCCAGTTCTCTGTTTATCTGAAAATCAGTCCTTATGTTATGTTGTAATACAATTTAGGAAGACTAATATTAATTCAGTTTCCGTGTACTTAATTCTTGGAAGAAACATGTTAATTAATATAAAGTTAAAATATACAAACACATTAATAGGTAGGGAGCTCTTTGTCCAGTGATTATGGGTTCTGAATATCGAGCTTGAGGTCGTATGTTTGATTTCCACTCAGGACCAATAATTGTGTTATTCGTACAGAAGAATAAAATGTTCAACACGTAGGTGTAACGGAACATAGTGTAAGTTTGGAAGTTTTTGGGCTATGATTGAAATAATACACATTTCTTTGAGGTCTATTGTTTTTTTTTTAAAGACAACTCTCGCATTAGGAATATACCCTGTGTCGCGGGGGACTTTACAAACATACATGAAACGGACACAAAGAACACCCAGACTCAGAACAACAATTTCTGAAAACGGAATGTCACTTACAGAGTGAGTACTGTTTGGGTACAATCTTTTTAGCTGTTCTAAGTTTGGTTTAACTTTATGTAACAATATTCTTAATCTTTAAAATCGATACTCGCTCTACAAAACATAACTGTCAAAGTGTTTGTTTAAAAAGACTTGAAGATTATTAACCACAAGGTCGACCGATAAAATCTAATGAATTTTATGTTCTTCTGTCTGCAAACAATGATGATTGATATACAGTAGGTAAGTCGATCAAGGTCGAAATAACAAGCAGAAAGGTTGCTTTTAATAGTATTTTCGGTAACGGTAAAAGGGAAATGATCAGACTAGTCACCTGATGTTAAGTGACTACGACACCTGAAAGTCAAGAGTCGAAAGTTTTTTTTTTTCCTTTTTTTTATAAAGACTATTAGAAATATATCCTGGGTAGCCGGGGTCTTTACAAACATACATGAAACAGACACAAAGAACAGCCAGACTCAGAAAAGCAATTTGTGGATCACACAAAGTCTCGTCCCATGTGGGGATCGGACCCACAGCACTCAGCGTAGTAGTAAGCGGCGTGGCGACCGCTTCAACCACTACTCCATCCGTGCAGTCAAAGTGCATCGTGGATATAGGATATAGGAGTGAACCCACAGTCAGATCTCCGTTAATATCACTCACTTGGCAAATGCAACGAAAGTAGAATTCTTTTTAAGTTTTCTAATAATACTAGACAAATATTCATCTTAATGTGTTCTCGTAAATTCATCTGGCTAGAGAGGATTAAATCCATAACCATTTGAACATATTTGGGGGAGGTCGCTTATACTTTGGATATACGTTATATTTTAGACTTGCGATTTTTAAGAGTTTAAATTAGACATCGTACCTAAAATCCATTTTATGTAAGTGGTATGATTAATAAACACCTGCCTACTTCAATAGGGTTACAAGCCTGAGTGTATAAATGTAGGTGACCTAGACCTATGACTAAGCAAAGTTAGGTTTCAGTTCTCAGTTTCGAACCACTTCTTGCTCTGATACATACCTTGTCAACTTGTGCTAAATAGGTGGTCAAATTACGCATCCTCTTATAACCAGTCAGTGCTCCCACCACTCCTACTGGTAGTAGAAGTAAGAGAGTAAACACCCCTACGACGCGGTCTAAAGTGTTGCGCATGTGGAAAGATCTGGGTTCCATCACGAGAGCTGAACATAGAGATAGTATGGCAAAGACAACTGAAACATAATGAGATATTTACCTGCATGAAAAAACTGTTAAAAAGAAGTTTAAACTTAGCTACCTTAAGAAAATAACATATAATCTTAATGTAAAATTGATAATTAAACAAAGTTTTAAATTGTTTGTTACACATTTTTACCTAATCGTGATCGTATATAATAGGTAGGTACATCTTATTTGAAAAAAATTGGACTAAATAGAACAGGTTTTAGTGTTCTGTTGTCATAACAAGGATTCTTTATAGTTACGCCATATGCGTTTGCCTGTATATCCATCCATCATAGTATAAGAAAGCTTTAACTATATGTGTATAAACAGTGTCATAGAGAAACTCTTCTGGAATCGAAGACAAATGATAGTACTCATGAGAATTTTGATAAATAAATCGATCATGGCGAAAAAATAAAATTGTTACAACCTCTCATTATTAAGTTTGAGTAACGGATTTGAAAGTATCACAGTTAAAATAGGTTAAGGGTATTTGCAAGTGTTAAATTGTAAGTGTTTTGAATATTATTGTACAAAAAACACTTTGAATAAGATGATTGATTATGAAGTACAGAGTGGTCAAACATTATTGACAATTAAAAATAGGGAAAAGTAACTGATGATACAACAAAAGGGTAGGTAAGACTACAAGATGTGGTATTCTACTTAAAAAAGCGTACTAACCGAATATCGTAATCAATAATATCCCATACACGTGGACAGCTTTTGAGGGCCTGATCTTCCACCCTTTCTGGACGCTTTCAAACCTCAGAGGGGCTAATCCTGTCAGGCATGATAAGTACAGGACCAAACTCAAAGTGCCAGAGACTATACACTCGGTTTCCGGAATATCCATTGTATTTTAAAACCTAAAATAAAGCAGAGTGAAGGACTTTAGAAAAACATATTGGATATTTATATAATATGTATGTATTTATATCTATATGTCCTAAGAGTGAATTAATTATTGAACACTGATTTTCACAACTATTAATAAATACAATGTTCACTTTTATTTAATTTCAATAACGAACCAATTAATTTTTATTTTATTTTTGTTCAGCGGTGATAGCTACAGAATGTGATAGCTGATTTGATTTGATTTGATTTGATTTGATTTGAAGTATCAGCAGTGTATTGTTTGTGATTTATTATGATGAAATTATTATTTTTCGGACATCTGACACACAACGCCATCTAGTTTCAAACTAAGCAGAGCTTGTACTATGAAAGCTAGATTGACTAATAGAATACTTATATAGTATTTTTTTGTCTATATATGCATATTGCATATGGTACATAGAAAAAACCCAAATTCCGATACAAATAATTGCAGATCATACAAAATCGACAAATCGACCGACCCGGGAATCAAACCCGAGCTGTCGCATACGCTACCACTGCACCACCGAGGCCGTTATGTTAATATTATTGTTATTATGTTTGTTATTATTGTTATTATGTTTGTACTTGATCTGTTCACGATGTCACCCTGACCTAAGGCTTGACACAACTGGTATCACCGCCATCGCGAGTTCCACATGTGGAAAGTCATGAGCCTTTACTGTTGGACCTTCTGCTGATCTCTGATCTGGACAGTACAGTAGAGTACAGTGCCAATTGCGTGCTTGCCGCGGCCGCGAGTTGCAGGTTGCCGGCGTGTATGGCCCTATAGGTCAGCGGACTGGGATGGGATGCGCTCATTCTTTGTGTCCTACCCATGGAGGGAGGTCTGTTTCTTGCCGGATGATCCCACCATCGTTGCGATTCTGTCACTGATGTAGTACTTCAGGGCATGGAAGTATTCGTTCCTTCTACATTAATTCCCATCGGTGGCAGGTCCAAGCTCGGGTTCAACGCTACCATACCTCGAGATGTAAATACCAGCACGCTAAAAAACATTATAACTTTGCCTAGAGGTTCCTTTAAAAAGCTATTGCTAGGGCGAAATCGGAACACATCAGTCGAATCGGTGAGAGACTGGTGAGACTTCCTTCTGGCACCCGTGCGTTCTGGTCTCTTGCCAAGGCTGTCCAGTTGAATTTCTGAAGCCAATCCTTTCCACCCCTGCAGGTGGGAGACAATTTGTTGGCCCATGATGCCAAGGAGAAAGCTGATCTCCTAGGCAAACTTTTTGCATGCAACTCGACCGGATATCCGGTTCACACAAAAAACAGTACGTAAAGCACTCTTTTTCCTTGACATTCATAAATCGTGTGGGCCCGATGGAATCTCTCCTATCGTGTTTAAGACGTGTGCTCCGGAGTCGGCACCGGTTTTAACGCGCCTTTTTCGTCTCTTCTACTCCGAAGGCGTTGTCCCGAACTTCTGGAAGGTAGCGTTTGTGCACCCGATCCCTAAAAAAGGTGACCGCTCTGACCCGTCCAACTACATGCCTATAGACATAGCTCCTTTGTTCTCTAAGATTATGGAATCCATAATCAACTGCCGGCTCCCGATCCGAAATATGGTTTTCGCCGGGGTCGCTCAGCTGGTGATCTTCTCGTCCTTCTAACACACCGGTGGGCACAGGCGATTGAGACCAATGAGAAGCTTGTGCGGTTAGTTTGGACATAGCGAAGGCCTGCGATCGGTTCTGGCATAAGGCGCTTCTCTCGAAGCTCCTTTGAGCTTCCCGAGAAATTGTGTAATTGTTTCCCAGTTACCTAGTGACGGTGAGTTCACCGTCTGGAGGACATGTCCCACAAGGCTGTGTGCTATCACCCACACTGTTTTTTCTGCATATCAATGACATGTTGCAAACTAGTAGCATACATTGCTATGCAGGTTACAGCACGGGAGATGCCCTTTACACCGGCCGCCCCAATGTTTCTCGGGAAAACGTCATCGAGAGTCGAAACAAATTTGTGCCTGAAATTAAAACTTCCTTAGCGGAGGTTTCAGATGGGGGCCGACTAAATCTAGTCAGGTTCAACCCAAAGCAGACACAGGTCTGTGCGTTCACCGCAAAGAAGATACCATTTGTCGTATCACCTCGGATTGAGAGCATCTCCTTAACTGGGTCAGCCAGCATCGGAATCCTAGGCATCGACATATCGAGCGAAGTCCAGTTTCGGGGTCACTTAGAGGGTAAAGTCAAATTGGCCTCCAAGAAGCTCGGTGTGCTGTACAGATCGAGGCACTATTTCACTCCAGCTCTATGAGGTGCAAGTCCGCCCGCGTATGGAATACTGTTCTCATTTCTATGCAGGGGCACCTCAGTACCAGCTTCTCCCTCTGGACCGCATCCAACGCAGAGCGACTCGAATCGCCAAAACATCTCCCATCAGCTGGATTCCTTGGCGTTACGTAGAGATGTGGCTTCACTCTGCATTCTCTATCGTATATATCATGAGAGTGCTCCGAGGAATTATTCGGACTAATACCAGCCGCAACTTGCCGCCATCGTTCACGATTCGCAACGTTCGTTCGCACAACAAATCTGTGGAACGGGTTATCGTCTGCGGTATTTCCGGACCGATACGACCTTCAAACCTTCAAAAAAGGAGCGGACTCCTTCCGAAAAGGCCGGCAACACGTTTGTGACTCCTGAGTTGCAGACGTTCATTGGCAGTGGTGGTCACTTTCTATGAGGTGACCCGTCTGCTCGTCTGTCCCCTCTAACATAAAAAAAATATCTGTGATTTTTGCTCAAAGTCAAGTTTGCGTTTTGAAAAGAAAATCATCAGGTACTTACTTAATTATACGTCTATCAATACTGGATGACCGACGATAGAGTTTTAGAAGCAGACAAATTCATAATGCCGTGACTTTGACAATAAATATTCAACATGCTATAAAATGTATAAAGTACTAATAAATAACAAGAAGTTATATAATCGTGAATGCTATCTAAAACAAACGTACAAAATAAATAGATCTTATGTGCATCGATATAGAATCAATGGATAGGTAATAGGAGAAACCTTTTCTATATCTATACAAATAAATAAAATTGGAGTGTCTGTTTGTAATATTAAAATAACCGCTTTTTACCTAATGCATATGTATGTTTACACGGTACATATGAAAAAATTTCATTTTTTACAATTTTCGTCTGTCTGTCTGTCTGTCTGTTTGTTCCGGGTAATCTCTGGAACGGCTGGACCGATTTCGACGGGACTTTCACTATCAGATAGCTGATGACATAAGGAGTAACTTAGGCTACTTTTTTAAAACTAGCTTTGTCCCGCGGCGTTGCCCGCGGTTATAACAACAAACGCGGGTAACACCGCAGGTCTCAGCTAGTTTAAAATAAAAGCGGTTTTGTCTACGAGTTTTCGGCTTATTGGTAGTAAAATCACTGCTAACAACAGAGGCAATTATTTCATTTGTGTGTTGCTAGTTCCCGTGGGTTTTCACTAACATTCCTCTTAATGACAGTTTCACTTGCAATTCCATTTATTCTACTCACAGACTGTGAAATCCAATAAAATTCTGATAACCCTCCTTGCAAGCACTCGTAAGTATTGGTGGCAAAAAATAAATATAAGCATTTTAATTTCATCACGGGTAAAAAAGCATTTGATTGTTTTGATGATTATTTTACAAAGAATCATCAAAACAATCAAATGCTTTTTTTAACATCACATGAAAATCGTACTTAATTAATCGCATATTAACTTACTCGAACCAGTATTCTTATCCTGCACTTGAATATTCCAAGTAACACACACGAGGGCCAAAAAAATCAAACCTTGTCATGCCCTACCACAATGTAAAAAAGAATTATTTGAACAAAGCCAATTATTCATAATAATCTGTTTGAATTGTTCCAACTCGGCCACTAGACAAATATCCCTTTGATCATATCTATTTTATTGGTGACAGGCTGATTTATTTTGGTACAGTTTAAGTGTTACGTAATGATGACAGTTACAAATGATAGACAATATGGTATCTTTATGAAGAAGAATGAAGAGCCAACTGAGTTCTAAGATGTGCACAGGCATATATTCTCAGAGGAAAAGGAGCGCAAATAGTAATTTACAAGATTGAAGACACACGTGATGCAAGACCAGAACGACTACATTCTCGAGGAGGGTTGGAGGGCAAGCAGGCGGACATCCAAAAAAAAGCCGAAACTAATTTACTATGAAATAAAGGACTGCGTAAAAGAGGATGCCAAGTGATAGACAGGAATGGACGACATTTATACAAATAAATTTCGGATAGGGTAGAAGATGATGATATTCGGCCATGAAGGTTTATACTTACAATTTAAATTACAGTTTTTGTAAAATAAAACTAACTTACAATGAACCAAAAAAGTAACTGTAAAGTTAAGAAAATAGAAGCTTCTCTTAGACGGCATATTGTAGTAAATACGAAACAATAGAAAGTAAAGGATAATTTTCGAATTGTTGCAAGTATGTTTAAGTTTGTAACCTCCTTTCTAAGGAGAGGCCTATGTCCAGCAGTGGACTGTTAAAGGCTGTTGATGATGATGATGATATTAAGAAGTTTGATATTAAATATGAAAATGAAAAATTTAATGAAATGGTACAACAGGCTACAAAAGCAGAAGACGTGATCGTGTTTGAAATATATCTGAAAGGGTTGAGACAAATTGGATCCTTTTTAGTTATGTAAATTCTAAAGCCAAGAAAGTATTTGTTGAAAAAATGTATTACTATCAAATAAACTAACAAGGGGTCTTTAATGTCTCTTTAATCTTAGCCACGTTGCTGATATTAACAGTTCATAGATATCTACCTTGAACATTGGAAGGAAAAAGCAATTCAATACACGTGGTCCTTCAACTGAAAATTGAAAAATTTTGATGCATTGATTTCTGTGAGACAGCATGGATTTTTAGTGGTATTTCAATTAAGAAATCGATCTACTGATATGCGCTTCCTTTTTACAATGTTCACACTAGTGCGAATTGTTTCGACTTTATACAACTAATGCCACTACACCACCGAAGTCGTCACGAAGCAGTTTAAGGGAGGCAATCGAGAGGGTCCTGATGGATACGTGATTACCACCTCCTACAACTCAAGAGTCACAAGTACGTTGTTGCCCATTCATCCCCCCCTCCCACAGGATCTGAGTTTAGGCTCTGGTAATCTCAATCCCTCACTCACACTTAATATTTTCTACCAAGTTGTTATCTGCAACAATTATATTTAAGAAACTTTGTTACTTTATTCACATCTTGAATGTGTACATCAATTACCTACCTTGTTTGTAGATGTAAGCACTTATTTAATTGTCCTCTGCATTGTCAACCATTTTAAAATAATAAAAAACATTTCTCTGAGACTATGAGATATGAGGCAAACGAGCAGACGGGTCACCTGATCGCCTGTAACTCAGGAGTCACAAGCGCGTTGCCGTCCTTTGAGGAAGGAAGGAGTACGCTCTTCGCTTAAAGGTTTGAAGATCGTATCGGTCCGGAAATACTCGTACCACAGCCGATAACTTGTTTCACATGTTGGTTGTGCGAAGCAAAAAGTGTCTTGAAAATTGCACAGTAGTGGAGTGCCAATTATCTAACGATAGCGTAAATATGATAGATATGTTTTCAATTGATACAATACAGTATGATACTTGGTCTGAGTAAAATGAATCTTTTACAATTTACGAACTTAAAATATTTGCTGAAATAAAACTTGGTATTAATCAGATGCAGACTTTATACCGTAATGTAGCTGAGTTAACACTTGTCTATATATTGCAGAGACCTATTTATTTTCAAACAAAACTGCGTCACATCATCATCAGCCTATCGCAGTCCACTGCTGGACATAGGCGTCTCCCATTGCACGCCACTTAGATCGATTTTGGGAGAAACTGCGTTTACGTGAATTAAAACATGCAATGACTGCATGCAACCAAAGAACTACGGATAAATGTAGTTATTATTTAAACCAACACAATAATATATGTAGGTATAGAAACAGTCAGTGACAACCAACATATAATTATACTGACACTATTGATTTGTTGCTTTCATAGTAGGTTTACTTAGATTAAATAGGTTTAATTTAGGTTTATTTACATAAATATTATTCTAATTGTCGATTCTCGTAATAAAAAATCGTTCAAAATTCAATTCCGTTCTACTCTCGATCTGACAAATGTTATAAAAGATATTCTAGTAGTAAAGTCTTACCGAGACTAGCAGAATACCGATTCAACTTTCAGTCACATTACGATATAATCACATTACAGTTAATGTTCGATGTTAAAGTAATTATATTTTTTATCTTTTTTGGAATTTCTTGTCCCAAATTACATTTAATTATATATGTTATGTAGATTCTGATAACACATTAATGAAATTCTTTATTTTGGCACCTCAACTGATAGATTTTGTAGAAAAATAAATGTTAAAAAACATATACAATCCGCTACTTTCACTTTTTATGATTTTCATATAACCTTAATTGTCACTTTCACCTCATACGCCAAATCCCATCAAACTGCCAAAACAAACATACATAACCTCGAAAAACAACCCTTTTGGCGCAGTCGGGTAAAAACTAACACCAACTGTAATGAAACTTATTCATAGCGAATAATAAATTAAATTGATCATTCATCAACTTTCCTTAAAAATCCCTTTTCATCTCTGACTCCTGGGGAACGCTATCACGGTGATGCATGACCCAAGTGTGTGTGGTGTTTCTGGTGAAATGGAACGATTCTTTCGATTTGACGCCATGGTTAAAAGTTATATAAATTAATTAATCTGTGGAACGGGTCATCGTCTGCGGTATTTCCGGACCGATACGACCTTCAAGAAAAGAGCGTACTCCTTCCTAAAAGGCCGGCAACGCGTTTGTGGCTCCTGAGTTGTAGACGTTCATGGAGATTATTAGATAATTTGTATGTTTTTTTTTTATAATATACGCAGACGTGTTTTAATGATGATGAATTAATGACTGAAACTTTACTTTTACATCAATTCCTCTATAAACTGCAAGTTCTCTTTTTGAAAAAACCGATAACAGCGTCTCTAGTTGATTATTGCTGAAACTTCACAAAGCATACCGTTTGGTTGTTCTAAACATTTGATTCATCCTTTGTGGAGTAGTTTTCCCGAACTAATACTAGATGGCGCAGTATTAAGTTACCACAACTTATTTAAAATCACTACTTCTCGTAGACGGTGAATATTAACGGCTCAGGCTTCAGGCTCAATCATTCTTTGTTTTAGTTTAGGGTAAAACTTAGGACTTATAAAATAATATTAAGATATAAATCTGAAGAAAGTACATGCTTCTGACTGAATTGATATATTTAAAACTTGATTTTCAATGCTATTCAGTTACTACCATACAGGTCGGTACTAAGCAGATACCTAAGGAATTAATTATGGTAAAGTAATAATAGCAATAAGGCCGACGAAACTAAAATTATTGTTGTTGTATTGTGTGATTTAAAATTTGATTGGCAAAGGGATGGAATGGAGAGCGGAGGTGTGCTGTATAGTTCCTGTCCGCCTTACGCATCGAATTCGTATTTGGTACTTAAAAAAAACCATTGTGTTGGAAACTGGTTAGGACATCCTTGTGGGGCCAGTGACACCTGGCCTCACCGTGGCAATACTCTTTATGTAATATTAATGGCTTTATATAACCTTACCTTGTCATAACCTTTACCTAAGAAAGGCTGCCCCAACGAAGTAACACTGTTACAATAATTTAAAATGTAACGGTCTTAAAATTGGAATGAATTCGACTAAGGCAAAAATTAAGTTACTTATCAAAAGGGGACCTGAAATCAAATGGCCCGGGTCCTTCCTTAATCGGTTCTCAGTGGAAACAACACATGCTCCAGACTCCTATATCCCCAAGGAGCCTGAGATCCGAAGAGATTTTCCACCCCCGTCAACACAAAAAGGTACTTATCAAAAAAAAAATTTTTTTTTTTTTTCTCTTTCTTAATTATCTTGCGATCAGTCATATTGTGACTATAAACAGATGTGGTGTAGGCACTGTTGGCGTTCAGGGCGTCGCTTCTAATGGAGCTTGCCCTATTTTTTTATTTGCCTGGATTTTTAGAAACCCTCTAGGCGTTCAATATGTCGCGCCGCTTTTTGAGCCGACGTATGGTTTCAGGTATAGTGAGCTGTTCCGTTAGCTGGTTCGGGTGCTTTGATAACCTCCACTTGTAGCTAACTCCATGGGCTTCTATTTCCTCCCAGATTGTTGGTATGTCCAAAGCTTCATGAAAATAAGTAAAAAGGTCTTTGATTGACAGTGAGTGTAGAGAAGAAACCTTGAGAGGTAAAACGGGATCTAGTTACGTAGTAAACGGGATACAGTTTGACGCGATCTTCGTATGTCCCTGAAAAACATCATAGATTTGCTATCAATGTGACGATCTGTAACACCAGCAATAGAGAGATGGGTAACTTAAAAGAAAACTTATTTCTACGAAACTCAAAAGGACTGGTGACACTAATGATTAAAGTCTTAGTTGACTTTACGGATGGCATTGTGGTTTAAGCGGTCGCCACGCCGCTTCCTACTGCGCCTAGTGCTGTGGGTTCAAACCCCACATGGGACGACACTTTGTGTGATCCACAAATTGTTGTTCTGAGTCTGGGCGTTCTTTGTGTCCGTTTGATGTGTGTTCGTAAAATCCCTCGCGACACAGGAATGTATTCCTAATGCGGGAGTTGTCTTTTATTAAATAGAAAAAGAAAAGAAAGAAGGTACCCTTACATTTAAGAATTTTAAACGAGCAGTTTCTGATTAATTTTATTTCATTTGGAAAACAAACAGTATTTAAACTTAATGGTATGAGCAAATAATTTAGCTAAAAACCAATTACATATTTTCACATTTAAATAACAATTAAGACCTTGTTTATTAAAAAAAAATAAAGAAAAAAAAAACAACTACAACAATTACAATACTACATCACACATAACAAAATGATATAAAGTATAATTTAAGTAGTTATTGAACCAGTTCGAACCAATGTTTGGAAAGTATTTGATTAATTACATGTGGTTTAGTAGTGAGTAAGTACTCGTAGAGTGAAGAATGACTCTAAGAATGGGGATAAACTATTGTATTTTAGGTAAGGTTTTAAGTTCTAAATTTGATTTCACTCTGCTATGCATTTTTACACTATAACGCGTTTTGTAACAAAAAATAAATGCAGGGCTCTGTCGGTAAGGTGCTAACTATTAAACCGCTGGCCGCGACTTTTGTTACATGGCACATAAGCAGTAACAAAAAATAAATTTGCTTTGGAACCGGCATCAGGAAAAGGAAGATTTTTTTATATTTTACGGATAACTTGAAACCGGCAGGATAGATTTGGATAATTATTTGAGTGTACTTTATGCAATTGTTAACCCTTTGAGAGTGGAAATTATGGGATGAAGGAATTCTTGTTACAATTTAACATGAGATAAGGTGATTATACTTTTTATTAAAATGTATGTCATTGTAATATCAACACAAAACACACCTCACCTAGATACATTTACTTTTGCCCAAATTTCAGTATGATAGACGTATTAAAGAAGTATTGCCGGTTTTCTTTGGCAATCAGAAACCATCCCTTTAATAAAACCCGCAATGTAATGCATTTTTCGAGATATAATCACAGTATACGCTATTCATTGGTACATAGTATTGTGATTCGTTGGTTAGTTATCGCTACGCTCGGCTCTGATCTTCACGTTGTTTCTGTTACCCTAGTACTTTACGAATATCTTGTACAGATGTTTAATTGATAAATAGTGAAGTGGAAGTTTTTCTATTCATTATGTAAATCTGTGCAGCACTTCCTTGCAGATTTTTATATCAATGGGTATGTATAATTTGGTACCTTTACCATAATATTGAAGCACAGAGAACGAGCCACCTTAAAAATTCGATAAAGAAATGTGAGACAATATTTTGTAAGTTATCTCAAGTCCTATTTTATACATTTATTTATTTATTTATTTATTAAAAACAATTACAGTGTCTTTATAGGATTTATCCCAAAACGATACTGTAAGTAAAAACAGTAAGTAACAGTTATTTATATATAAAAATCATTTGCTGTAATACATCTCTGTGCGACTTCTTTGAAGTTCGGCAGGCTACAGTTGTAGATATCTACTTGTATTGAAATAATATTAATAAGCCTTATGGCGCGTGATATAGGAGCATTGATATAATGTGTTGTTTTAACTCAATGTATAGGAGCATATCGAAGTAAATTTGTTCGCGTTACGGGAACGCTCATGTTACTTCCAGTCTTCCAAAAGTTCCTACTATCGTTCAAAGAGACTGGTTACAAAAAAATAAAATAGAATTTATATTAATTGTATGTGTAAAAAGAATCAGTATCAAAGAACGAATATAAAAAAGTGTGAAGAAGAAAGAAGAAGTATAAAGAACATCGATTATGAGAAAATCAATAGGCAAATATTATGAACAAATTACTTTATTTGTTTATAACCTTTGCCTATTATAAATTACCATAACACGAAAACACTTACATGTTTACATTAGGCACTACAGCATTTTTTCTTCCATTAGCACACAAATTGAAATTATATTAATGTAGTATTTCCGCCTATTTGTGAAAGCTTTGACGCTTATAAAATTACCTTTGCACTTGTTTTATTATTATTATTATATTGTTTTTTTGTGAACTTATAATGTGTCTTTCTAACTTTTGAAACAGTAATTTAAGAGTATTTATGTTAATGGGTTTAAATTATATATTAATAAAACATAAAACTTCATGGAAATTACAAAAATTGGCCCGTACGTATATATTTTTGTTTAACTGACTGACAACACCAACGTAGAGCCTAAACCGCTGGGGCTACAAACTTGAAATTTCGTCAGTTGATGCTTTTTAAGTAGTAAGCACAAGTTAAAAAAGGATTTTTGGAATTTTCACCCCTATGGGGGTGAAATAAGGGATGAATAGTTGTATAGAAGTTCGTAATTTTCAAAGTGAGAAACACGAAATAGTAAATGACCAGCGAAGCCGCAAGCATTAGCTAGTTTCAGTTATCGGCGTTATCGATGTAATAGACCCCACACGTCGCGATAAAAATATTATGAAAATATACAGGAATAACGCTATCACGTAATTGATATTACATACTTTTGGATTAACTAACGTTTCGACCAGGTTGTACTCGCGCTCACTTCCAGGGAACAGAAGGAACATGGGGTTCCCACGCGGGGGGGTCGTCTACTCGTCTGTAGATGGCCCGAGGTATGTCGGGATACCAGGGACTGCCTTTCTAGGGTATACCTGGTTCCCCGGCAATTAGTACCCGAGACGGCGTGCGGTTTTAGTCGGTTCGAGTCCGACATGCCACCGATAGTATCCGTGGGTATTTCCGCACGGTATTTAAAAAAAATAGGTTGTACTCGCCGTGGTCAGAGTCTGGCATGACAAGAAAAGCTAATATAAATATTAATCTGTTCAGATTTTTTGTGTGCACCGACACTTATTGTGTTTATAATAGATGGTTCAAAACAATCAAGATTATTAATTTGTTACAACGATTGTATTAAATACAAAGTCTCTCAATAACAGACACTTCGTTCGCATCTATCAAAAGGAAAAAAAAAACAATTTTTACAACATTTTCCATCGATGCTCGGCTCCTATTGGTGGAATCTTGATGTCATATAGCCTTCCTTGATAAATAAACTATCAAACACTAAAATAATGTTCCAGTTAGAACCAGTAGTTCCTGAGTTAAGCGCGTTCAATTAAACAAACAAACAAACTCTTCAGCTTTATAATATTAGTGTAGATAAAAGGTCGATTGATATAATGATAGTTATAAATTTTTATGACAAAAAAGCTTAGGCTAAAAAAAGAAAAAACTGTGTGTGAAAACACATGTGTAGTTCTAGAATAAAAACAAAAATAATAACATTTTTCAATAAAAGCAGCAAAAAGGGGTTTTTCTTAGTATTCTACACCATTTGGTTCCTATTCATGGTGTGCAATTAAGAGTACCTATCTATCTATCTAAAAAAAAGACGGCGTTTGAGGCCTTTACTTACTAAAACCTGACGGAAAACGAGGGGTGTTATAATTTTAATCTGTGTATTTGTCTGGTATCATAGCTCCCGAACGGATGGGCCAATTTCGATGCGGATTTTTTGCTCGAAAGCCGATGTGATCGAGATGCTTCTTAGCTATACATTTTGAAGATCATCAGCTCACTTCCTAGGTGATGAAGAAATCTCACTAAAATCTACAGGTCTGATTGGTCTGAAATTTGGTATACTGTTACTTTGAAGGTATCTCCACGACATGGTAACCTTGAACTTGCTGCTGCATCAAGTAGTCTGTAGGATAGCCAATTCCTCAGAAAATTACAGTATATATGTGTTTGAGCTCTATACTGTTTTTTCCGTTTGAGTAGTTCCCCCCACCTAGATAATTAGGGGGAAGGCAAATTTTTGGTTCTGGTAACCTCACTCCTGGTAACGAAATACATACTTGACTCCGGTTTTCTGTGAGGCCCTTATATCACTCCGGTCGAGCCTGGCCATTTGAGCCGAAGCATGGCTCTTCCACGTTAAAACTTTTAATATATCTGAAAGGGTTACTAAATATTAGCATCCTATCAATGGAAAAATCTGTCCTGTTAATTATTTAATCTACTTACCATCTTTCGTACCTCATTTTATGCAAATAAACTAATTATTAATTATTATTAATTATTATATACTACAGCTTGTGACGTCATCATATGTCATCATCAACAGCCTATACTAGTCCACTGCTGGACATAAACCTCTCCTTAGAAAGGAGGTTTTGGCCTACTATACCACGCTGGCCAGACGGGTTGGTATAGGGTTTGTTTCCAGTTTTCCTTCTCTTTGCAGTGCTGTTGTCCTGCTTAGTTTGCTCCCTTAGTCGGCTCTTACGACACCCACGGGATGAATTGGGGTGGTGACAATTTGTATTCTTAATCCGTCACCACACGGTTTCATCGGTCATCATATGTACTAGTAAAAAAAATATAAATTAAATATTAGGAAGTTTACCATATTGCATCTTACAACATGGGGTGTAAATTGTAGCTACACGATACATAGAGAGTGCTCCGAGGAATTGTTCGAACTAATACCGGCCACAAATTAAAGGTATGTGGAAGTTGACACAAGCCGACTTAATGAGCTAACTACGTAGAACAAAAGCACTGCAAAGATAACCCTTTTTTTTTTTTTTTTTTTTACGTGTGGAAATCCCCTCGGACCATCACCCCGCCGGGGCTCTCGTTCGGCGGGGCGGTGTGTCGGACTCGAACCGACTAAAACCACACGGTGTGCCCTCTTTGCGCTTCCAGTTTAGGAGGGGTCCAGGTAGCTATCTCCTTCTGGACCCCTCCCAGCGCCGGCCCGCTCCTGATGCGGGCTCCGTCTCAGTGGACCCTCTCTTTAGGCGACGTCCGGCACACGCGGACGCCACCCCCTCGCGGCTGGCCAACTAATGCGGGTGGAGGGGAGAACCCATCCCGTCCACCCGCGGCCACACTCAGGGCGGCATGAGGCGCAGGTAGGCGCACCTCCGCCGCCCGGTTCGCCGGCGGCGGATCAGGTCCGAGTGGAGGTCGTCCTCCCGGGCCTTCTCCGCCGCCTCCTTCTGCGAGATTACCTCCTCGCAGAAGGTTGCGACCGCGGTAAAACAACTGTCGCTACCGGCCATGGAGCGAATTACGACCGGTAGCGAGAGATCTGCTCCGATGACTGCAGTGAGGGCCCGGCGCTGCGTCGCCCATGCGGGGCAAACCGCCAGCGTGTGCTGGGCCGAATCCTCACTGCAGTCGCAGTGGTGGCAGGCGGGACTCGATTCCCTCCTAGCGACCGAGTACAGGTACTTTCCGAAGCAACCGTGCCCGGAAAGCACCTGCGTCAGCCGGAAGGAAAGGGTCCCGTGCTGCCGCCCTGCCCACTCGGCGATGACCGGCTGGAGAGCCTCCACGGCGGCGAAGCCAGCGCGTGGAGTCTCCAGCCGGAACGACCATCTCACCATGGTGGCTCGGCGAGCGGCTTCGCGCCACTCGCGCACGTCTTCGGGCGGAGGGCGAAATCCGCTCTCCGCCCGGAAGTCAGCCACTCGCCGATAAACTTCGGCGAGCACTTCCGCCTCCAAATCCCACGGGGGTGTTCCGGCCAAGGCACAGGCCGCCTCGGTGGACACCGTGCGGTATCCGCGTATGGCTCTGACCGCCAATATCCTCTGGGGGCGCCAGAGGCGCGCCCTATTCGGGGCGGTCAGAGCCGCCACCCACACCGGTGCACCATACAGCGCCATGGACCGGACAACCCCCGCGTACAGCCGCCTCGTGGGAACACTGGCCCCGCCCAAATTAGGCAAAAGTCGCCCTAGGGCGGAGGCAGTGTCCACCAAGCTGTCGGAAGTGCTCGTCGAAGAGCCACCTACCGTCTAGGACCAGACCCAGATACCTCATCTGGGCCCGGACCGGTACGAGGACCGAGCCGACCTCGATTGAGGCGCCGGCGGGCGGACCACGACGGGGCCCATGAAATAATAGGGCCTCCGTCTTATCCAGGGCCACCCGTAATCCCAACGCCTCAATGCGCCCGACCACCTGGGAAACTCCCGTGGCGGCCAGGCGCGCCGCCTCCTGGAAGTTAGCCCCCCGGGCCGTGAGTAAGGTGTCATCCGCGTAGCAGATTACACCCAGCCCGGGGGGGAGACGCCCTCGTAGGGCCCAGTCGTACCCGATGTTCCACAGGAGAGGTCCTAGGACAGACCCCTGCGGAACACCGCAGGACATGGCCCTGCGTCTCAAGACGCCATCTCGGTCC